CCCCGCCGCGGGGCTTGGCCGAGCCGAGCTTTAGGAGGACCCTAAATCACCTGGAGGTGTCTCCTAAACCCTCTGCCCGCCCCAGCCCCTCCAGCGTTGAGCGAGGGTTGTCCCTGTGCCGGGAGCTGTCGTGAGCGGCAGCGCGGGGTTAAGCTCTAAGGTCCTAAGGTAACGAGATAAAGCTGCTGCGTGCCAGGTCCTCCAGCACAAACCGCCGCGCTCTGCACGCTGATGGTGCTCCAGCGAGGTTCTGTCCCCTAAAAACTTAATTAGTTAAGAAAATAAGCCCTCGGCTTCCTAATGACATCTGCTTTGAAACGATAGCGCAGCTTCAGCCTTGAGCTGGTTGTTGTTCGTGTTTGTAGGCGTTGTGGGGTCAGCAGCTGAAAAGAGAGTAAAAAGGGATGGTCACCTTTTGGACTAGTAGGGCCGCTGTGTTGCCTGTTTACCCCAGTTTCTGCCAGCAGTTTTTTGCAATGGTCTTTTTGGAAGCTGCAGGCTCTGGGCAAGGGCCCGGCGACGAGTAAAAGCAAAGACGACCTCGTGGTGGCCGAGGTGGAGATCAACGACGTGCCGCTCACGTGCAGGAACCTGCTGACGCGGGGGCAGACGCAGGACGAGGTGGGTCCGAGCGCTGCGGGTGCCTCCTTGTGCAGAGCCGGGGCCGAGCTGAGCCCGGGGGCTCTCGAACTCTAAAAGTGCCCGTCCTGTTTCTGTTGCTGCTGCTTTAGTTCTCTCAAATTTGGGTTTTCGTGAATTTGTCCAATAACATTTCATTTGAGAGAGTAAACTAGGCTAACAGGTGTCTTTTAGGGGCACTTCCGTTTTCTCATGTCTTTAGTATTGACCTACAGTCTTTTTGCATAAGGCCTTAACTTAAACCTTTTATTTATATGCATATATGTACATATATTTTCTTTTTTGTTCTTTTGCTGCTATTTTTTCACTGGATTTTTGAAAAATTAGATAAGTCGGCTAAGTGGAGCAGCTGTCTCAACTCGAGGGAGATTCATGACTGCAGAAGAGAAAGGCAAAGTGGGACCTGGGTTTGTAACCTTCATGTTTTTCAAGGGGGTGCTGTGTTGCATCCATGGTTGGTTGTTCTCCATGTGTTTAACGGATGATTTGGGGTTTCCCTCCTAGAGATCGTCCTCTGTATCTTCATGTCCAGGGGCAGACACGGGAGCTGGTGGACCGTAAGTGTTTGGGAGGGTTTAAGTGTGGTAATCTGTGCTACTTGAAGTGGAGATCTCTGTAGGATCTGCTTGGCAGGCGTCTGAACTGTGTATCATAATTGTTTACTCTTGCTGGAGCCATGAACATGCTCTGGTCACTACTGTTGCTTTCAAAATTAACTTGTCTTGATGGATGGAGTGGGGGGTGGAAGTGTTAGTAATTTTCCAGGCAATCCGATTGAAAACCAATTTTTTTCCCATAATTGGACACCTGGAAATCTCCTGTATGTTTATAGTGAAGTGTATTTGTTTTTTATAACAACTTTTTAGCAGTTTTAACAGTTTTAACAACTGTACTTCCTGGAAACATAAATGGATTTTATGTCCTGTCAACTAGGAGCCGTTAACAGAATTAAAGAGATAATCACTAACGGCGTGGTGAAAGCTGCCACGGGCTCCAGCCCCACGTTCAACGGGGCCACGGTTACCGTCTACCACCAGCCGGCCCCCATTGCTCAGCTCTCCCCAGCAGTTGGCCAAAAACCTCCGTTTCAATCAGGGGTGAGTGATTTGCTGGAGACTTTCGCTAATTGCATGTACACTTTGCAGTGAATAAGTCCTATAATGTGCTGTTTTAATGCAAAAACCCTGCGTGTGTGCTGAGGGAAACTGGAGGACTAATAGGATGGAGTCTGAAGAGTGAGACTCGATCCATACTGGCCTCCTAAAGAGAAAGGATTGGGGAGAGCCGTCCTGCTTGCAGAAAAGTACAGGACTGACTGCACCATCCGACAGGAGTCGTTCTGCCTGCTGTAGAAATGAGTTGTTCTCTGGTGGAAGTGAAAATCCTGATTCCAGGAGTGAAATAACAATCTCGTGCTGCAACTTTTACAGATGCATTACGTTCAGGACAAATTATTTGTTGGTCTGGAACATGCTGTACCCACGTTTAATGTGAAAGAAAAGGTGGAAGGGCCTGGCTGCTCCTACCTGCAGCACATCCAGATTGAGACGGGGGCCAAGGTCTTTCTGCGGGGGAAAGGCTCGGGCTGCATAGAGCCAGCGTCGGGCAGAGAAGCCTTTGAACCCATGTACATCTATATCAGGTACGAGAGATTGGGAAACTTTCCTTTTAGCAGAGAACCTGAAAGTGATAAAGAAGGAAGGGATCGTGCTCACCAGCTGATTATAGCACCCTGCTTTGGGGGGAAACACTGTAAAGCTGCCTTCTCCTTGGGCATGTAGGAATGTTGAGCTTTAGGAGAAAAATACCATTTGCATTGAGCAGTCAGTCGCTGTTCTGTGCATGTTTCAGTACTTGGGCAATCCTGAGTTTTTATTTAGATAAATATTCTTCCCTTGCTTTAGTCATGCTAAAAGCTGCAGAGCCACTAGAGTGCTCTTGAGATGACTGGTCACCCCTTAAAGGGATGAGATCTGACAACAGGTTGCTCTTAAACGAAAGAGCTCTCAAATGTTGTGAAAACATTCATGCTTCTGAGTGCTTTTTTTCTTATATATCTTCAGCCACCCAAAGCCGGAAGGTCTGGCAGCTGCTAAAAAGCTGTGTGAGAATCTCCTACAAACTGTGAGTAGCTGTGTTGGACTGCTACAAATACAAGATATCAGAGCCTCTCTTATCATTAGTATGTCCCAGGGCTGTTATTTCTACGCTTACATGAATTAGTTGATTTCCTTGTATCTCTTTATTTGCTTTTAGCTCTAAACATTGTTCAGTTTCATGGCCTCTTTTATTTTTCCCTGAGGAGATTGTTTTACTTAGCACAGAATTGTTACAAAATCTCTTACCCAGATGAAGAATTAATTTCTCAACTTTTGTTGTGTGAATGGGCTACCACAAAACAGTAAAATCCTGTGAGATTGAGTGTTAGCCTTGGCACAGACTACATCATCCCTGTGGAAAATCTCTCAGCTCTTTAGATGCTTTGTGGTTTTGAGCAATTTGTCTTTACTCAAGCAATTGTTTTAGTGTTCTGTTCTCTCCAGTGATAAAACATCCTCTGCGTGTGGTGAAGTACCCTGCTGTATTGTATTTTATACAAATGTGTCATGGAGAACAAGACTAGGGGCTATATTCTGATTTTTTTTTTCCATATTGTATTACATAGTGTACTACTGTGACTTTGGGTGTAGCGTATTCCACAGTCAAAGCCCTCTTTTACGATCAGTTTTATGGTAAGATGCCCTTTGCCTGCAAAAGCTCCATGTAGTAACAGCTGTTCATTTCTCTTTGACCCTCCTTTCTAGGTGCACGCCGAGTACTCTCGCTTCGTGAATCAGATAACCACTGCAGTCCCCATGGCAGGTGAGCGTTTAGCAGCGGCCAAGTCCTTGGAGCTGCCTTTTACCATTTTGCCTTTAACTGGGAAGGGTCCCAGCGCTCTGCGTTCGGGGATGGACGCGGTAGCGTCGCGGTGACGGCCCGCGTGTCCCCGCAGGCTTCGCGCCGCCCGCGGCGCTGGGCAGCGTGCCTTCCCAGCCGTCCTACTACCCCTCCAACGGCTACCAGTCCGGCTACCCCGTGGTGCCCCCTCCTCAGCAGCCCGTCCAGCCGCCGTACGGGGTGCCGGGCATGGTGCCGCCCGCGGTGCCCTTGGCTCCCGGCGTCCTCACCACGGTGCCCACCGGAGTTCCGCCTGTGCCCACGCAATATCCCATCTCTCAAGTGCAGCCTCCAGCCAGCACCGGCCAGGTAGTGCCACAGAGGAGGGAGTTGTCAATGTGCTAAGCTGTTTCTTTGCTAGCAATTAACTAATGCAAACTGTTGTGGGTCAGGAATTTAAGGGTGGGTGGGGAGCACACATAAATATTTTCACTGGTTATTGCTTTGCTCGTGCTTTTGTTATCAAAGAAACTAAACTGCTGTTACTGCTTCTTGTTTTTTCATAACTGTATATAACATGAAGGATACTTGGGGTGAGATCACTTGCATATAAAAAGTGTTATTGCTGTTATGTAGAAGCAGTGGGCTTGAATTTCAGGGTCTGCTTTGAGGTGGGAGTGCTCTATAGGCTAAATGTGTATGCTGATCCTACGTCCGAATCTGTGTGTTAATTGATACTCCTTTTCTCTTCTTCTGCACTTGTGCCTGCCAGACTCCGCTGAGTGCTCCTTTTCTGCCCGCTGCCCCCGTAAAAACCTCCCTGCCTGCTGGAACACAGCCCCAAGTGCAGCCCCCTTCCCAGGGCCAAAAGAGGCGCTTCACTGAGGAGCTCCCAGACGAGAGAGAGTCGGGACTGCTGGGATATCAGGTGGAATAAAATCAGCAATTTTACTTGCAACATCAAAATGGAACTTTGCTAGAGAGGCCATGAGTTTATTTTAAACAGATAGGCAAGATCTTTGGCAGTAACTGCTAAAAAGGCTGGCGATCCCACTCGAGTTGGAGTGGATGCGCTGTTCATGGGCTGCCTGCTTTCTCTAGCTGCATTTTTCTTCTTTTTCATGAAGATCAGCAGTCCCTTCAGACAGAGACGGCGATGGGGTGTCAATGGTTAGGTTAGGGGGTGGCTAGCGGGGGCGGTGGGGTTGGTGTGTGGGTCGTCTTAGTGGGCGTGTTGGGGAGGGGGAAGTGAATGTGGTGATTCCCTCTAGACTTTTTAGATAGCCAAAGCTTTCTTATTATTTTTTAATACAAATAATGTTGAATTTTTGTGTATGAGTAAAAGGGAGTTTCTGCAAATGCTCTTTTGGTGGTTCCCCCCCCACCTATTTTTTTCTTTTTTTCTCTGCAGACTCCCCTTTGCCCATGCCCCTGCCATACCTTCACCCTTCTAAATTGTCTATCTGGAATTATACCAAACTGGCTTTAAGCCCATAGGCAGAAGCCCTTAATTTAAACAAATAAATAAAGCCTAGGGAAAACAAGTAGCTGCCTATGTGTAAGATGTAATAGTAGTGTCTCAGCAGAGCTGATGTCATAAGGTCTACATACCATACAAAATTAGCTTAATTAGGAGGTAGTAAATTGCTCCCTGAAATAAGCAGCCAGCTGGGAAGATGGATTAGATTACGAGGTCTCTTCCATCTTGGCTGGAAACGTGCCTGAGCACGTTAGGCTCTGCAGTATTTGTAGGACAGAGCATTTTAAGACTGGCAATCAGTAGCTGCTTCCCTATCTTTAATGGGCAGCCTGAGGTTTTTTTGGTGGCTCTATATACAGTCAAAAAGAGCAACTGCTTAATCTGCTCTGTAGTTGGCGATATGCTCTGAAAAGTTGGGTTTTCCTATCGTTATCGTTAAGGAGCTGTAGCTTATGGTGTAGTTGTAGATTTGCTAATGCCGTGTGTTTTTCTGCTCATAGCATGGACCCATTCATATGACTAATTTAGGTACAGGCTTCTCCAGTCAGAGTGAAATCGATGGAACAGGATCGAAGCCAGCAAGTTCCTCAGGAAAGGAGAGAGAGAGGGACAGGTAAGTGGTGGAAGAACTAGGATCCGATGTGTGATTCTGTAGGAAAAGCTTGTCTGAAAGATAAGAAGGGGGTGAAATAATAAGGGTGAAATATGAAACATACATTAGTACTCATTTGGGGAGCTCTCAAAACGAAGCTGTGGTTTTACAGCACCTGACCATAACAGGAAAAATCAGCCACAGAGCCAGTGATACATTTCCCAAATTCATTTATTTCATCCAAATTCATTCATTCCTCAACTAAGTACAATGAGAACATTTCAGAATTGCCACCACTCTGCTAAGGGATTGAGTTGTTATTTTTCTTTGCACTGAAAAGCAATGGGGACTGAAAATAAAACTACTTCTGACTCTTTGCTCGCTTTGAAAATAATAAGTACTTGCATTGGTTTAAACAGGCAGTTGATGCCTCCACCAGCTTTTCCTGTCACTGGGATGAAATCGGAATCTGAAGAAAGAAATGGTGCGGGGTCCTTACTAGGCAACCACGGTGAGTGCAGTGAATAAACAAACATATATAGAAAAGTGAACTTGGCAAGCCTACCCTGATCTTTACATGCATTTAAACACATTGGTGATTTTTTTCCTTTACAGTGCCCTTTTAAGTGAAAGGGAGGTCATATTCCACTGCTAAAAATCGTTTTAAGTTATTTGTGACTGTACACACCTGGTACTTCTCTTAAAACTTCAAGTGTTTTTAGGAAGGAGGAGGAGGCGATAAAGTGAAAGAACAAAGGCTGGGATTCTTGTCCCAGCTGAGGCCCAGAATCCCCTGGGATTGTTTTGTACCGCAGGTATCGGGTGGCTTCACGTCTCTAGAGGCCCTGAGGGCTGTGCGGGGGGTTCAGGTGTGCGTGTACAGGCAGGAGGGGGTCCCCCTTGTCCGCCAACAACAGGCGTGTGGCTGGGCTGCATCCGTCCAGAGGGCTTTCCTGCATCAGTAATCTGTAACGTGGGAAGACGTGATGGCCACGTTTCCTGGGAGCCGAGTAGTGCTTTCATGCTAGGTCTGCAGGCACATCACGTGTGTTTAACCTTAGTTTTTCTGCAGTATTGGTCGCAGAGATTGCTGCTCTTTAGTTTCTTTTGAACAAAATCTCTACTTTTCCTACATATTTATCTCTTTAGCGGTGAAATTGCCACCATTTAGACCCATTTGCTAACTTTACCTTTTTGTGTGTGTTTCTTTCTTCTTTCTCTGTTCTCTTACATGGTTCTGATGGATCACATGTGCTGTTGCTGGTGCTGTTTCGTGTGGCCTTCGACCTTGGATGACCATTGGCCTTGTGACCTCAAAATGGTGTCCAACTAACGATTTACAATTAACATTTTTTTTAATTAACTTGTTTGGGGAAATTTTATCTCTTTTTTCCCCCCTTTTTTTTTCTCTTGGGGTTTGGGTGGGTTGTTTTGTCTTCCCCTTCTAGATCATCAAGCTAAGAAGATGAAAACAACAGAAAAAGGGTTTGGATTGGTGGCATATGCAGGAGATTCATCAGATGAAGAGGAGGAACATGGTGGTCATAAAAATGCAAGTACTTTTTCACAGGGATGGAGCTTGGGGTACCAGTACCCTTCTTCACAACAGCGAGCTAAACAACAGATGCCATTTTGGATGGCACCATAAAGGCTACAGAACAATTTTCATACGTCTTTTTTTTTTTTCTTCTTTTTTTTCCCCCCTCTAGCAATAATGCATGTATATTACACAATGGACTTTGCAAGTATGCATTGTTTTTACATTTGCAGAAGCTAAAGCTTCAATATTCCCTCTTGAAAGGGCTCCATTATTTTTAAAATTCTTATTTCTGCAGTGGATTTGTAAACTATGCGAAATACTTGAAATAAGACTTCGGAATGGGAAGTCCCTTGTAAAACAGGGGAATTATTATTAAAGAGAAACTAGGAAGCCCATCTTTCCCCATGCTTCCCACCTTTCCAGGATAACTTAAATGGAAAGAGCCGGCAAAGCCGACTTCCCTGTTCATCTGGTGTTCTTACTGCAATGTTTCTGCAGTCCCATTGAGCTAATGGTGACCAAGGATTCAATGTTTGGACTTTTGGCAAAAGGATGTTCAGTAGTTCTGAAAAATTTTGGGATCACATTTCCTAAAACTCCTAATTTGTTTTTATTTTGCCTCCTGTAATCCAGCTTTTTTTTTTTCCTTAAAATGTGGATTTTTTTTTGTACTAACTCCTTAACTCCTGGTTTTAGCTAAATGTCTTGATGGGGGAAAATGCTTTATTTTTTTTTTTCATCTTGTCCATAACTCCGAGGTGGACTCGGTCCCGTTATCCTTGGTACTCAACCTTTTCGAATTCTCCCCGTGTGTTTCATTCCGTTCGGCCGTGCGAAGGGCAGGACTTCCCCGAGGTTCTCCCGAGGGTCTCTCCGTCTCCCTCTTGCTCCTAAATCTTTTGCTTCGTGATGGTTTAACAAAAACGGGAGACCCGGCGCTGCGGCCACGCGGGACGCTGGCAGCACTTAGCACGGGACAGAATGAAGGGGAGGGCGCGTGGCTCGCTTGTAGAAACACCCCGACTTTCCTACGCGTTGTAAATAATTTAGAGCCATAATTTCATTATAAATAAATGTATAAAGATTCTGCTTCGGCCTATTATTTATTATTGTTCCTCGAGGTGAGGGCGAAGATCGCTCTAGGATTCGCTCCCGGGATATTTTTTTTTAAGTGAAAACAGTTATTTGC